CATCTGCCATGGACTTTAGATTAGTTACTGGTGGTATACCAAAGGAGGACTCATGCAGAATGGTCTCTGGCAGCAATGGCAGCTGTGGATGAGGTTTCCAGGGGCATCAGTAGTACTAGTGTTATTGGCAGCATCTAGTGTCCTTAGTGGTGGGATCATCAGTGCAAGACACAGTCTAGTGCTTTGTGGTAACATCAGTGGCTTCCAGGCTAAATGAGTTCTGCTTCATATTAAGCCATGTTTGCTAAAAACTTTAGTAAAGGCTTCCTTTTTGGGACATCAAAACTATTAGAGTTTCCCCAACATCATTCTCTAGCATCGCCATGACATTTCTTTTTGCAGTATCTTCAATACCAGTCTTCACTCTGATATGTATCTTCATGGAAAAACTTTGAGGGAAGAAAGAATGAGTTTCTCCACTGAATCTGGCTCTCTCAAAATGAAAAGACTAGGAAAACAAACTATTAGAAAGTGATTGAGAGGCTTTTTAGCTTTTTAGGTGCTGAGAGCAAATGAAGGTTATAGCGTTTCTCTTGCTTGTGGTTAGGAGAAGCTAAGATCGGATTCATGAATGTTACTCTACTGCTTAAAAGTTTCTGTGGCTTATCATTGAAGTGAACTGGAATCCACATCCTGTTATTTCTTGGGTTTTGACCTAGGATAGTTAATTTAGCCTTTCTGTGCTTCATTTATATATATACAGGGAGTTCATAATATCTATTTCTATTTCAGTGGTGTTTGTGATATATATCATATATCATAAATAAAAGACTGGTACTTGGAAAGTATTCAATAAAAATGTTGGGTACTCTCCTTAATCTGACATTCAGTGGCCTTCACACTGGATACCAACCCACCTTTCCAATCTCTTCTCTTATCACATCCCCTCACAATGCTCCAGCCACACCAGATTATTTTTAATCACAACTTAACATGCCATCAACATTTCACAATTCTGTATTTTTATTTCTGCTTGGGATATACTTCTCCCATTTTTTAAAATTCATTGCTCAAGGTCCAGCTCACTTGTTGCAATACCTCCCCCAGCCCTAAGCAAGTTAATTACTCTCTTCCACGTACATCCATAAGACTTTAGTTACAACCCTATCACTGCTCTAACCATCTATCACGGTGAGTATATTTTTTATTTCTGCTATATATAAGTAATGAGTTTCTTAAAGACAAAAGCCATATCTCATTCATCCTTGTCTATCCCTAATGACTGGGTCATAAAACGTGCTGCATAAGTGTTGGACTGATTGAATGAGTAAATGGTAATAGTTGGAAACCATCAATTTGCATTTATTTGGAGGCCACAGGGAGGTGCCCAGCTCATCCAAGAATTAGGAGAAGAAAAGTAAAATTATCCTTTAAGAACTAAATTTTAAGAACTACTTTAAGGAGAAAAGTAAGAATATCCCTTAAGAGCTAAATTTATGTGAAATTGTCTAGAAACGATAGAATGGCTTCCAGGCCAGCAGGACTCCACAAAAACCAGCTTGATTGTACTACATTCTCTAAAGAAAGAATGGACCATTTTAAGAGGACTAGATTAGCCCTGATAAGCTTAGAAAAATAAGGAACACTGAGTTGAAAGTGGATCATGACCCACCTGAGCACTTTCCAGAAGAGGGAGAGTCAGTTCTCTAGTGTTTCACTCCCAACTGTAATGTGCCCATGCAGCATCATAGATATATCATCTTATAATATCTCAATGCTTTTAAGCATTCACAATTCATAGCTCCCTTTGTTCTCATTCATGCTCACTATGCAGCCTTTTGGAAACCCTGGTGGCATAGTTGTTAAGTGCTACGGCTTCTAACCAAAAGGTCGGCAGTTCAAATCCACCAGGTGCTCCTTGGAAACTCTATGGGGAAGTTCTACTCTGTCCTATAGGGTCGCTATGAAATTGGAATTGAATCAATGGCATTGGGTTGGTTTTTTGTATGTAGCCTTTTAATTCTCATTATAAATTAAAAATTGGTTTCTGATTATAATTTGGCTTCCCAGGTGAGCTCACCCACTATGGACTTCAATCTTTTTGCTTCCTGTAATATAAATAACTTATTATAAATTGATAAATTGGCATTATGGCATCTACCTCAGTCTTGTGTCCTTTAGTGAGTTGAAGTTAATCGTTATTCCCTGATTACTATCGGGCACAATGAGGAAACTTCCATGCCTTCAAAACTAAAGTACAGGTCCAGCCAGCTTGCCTTTAGACAGCATTTCTATATTACTTCCAATTGTAAGCTGTTCCCATGTCTACACCTGTTATGTAAAATGAGTTGGTGGGAACTTAAAAGAGAATCCTCATACATATGTCTAAGACTATTTCTATCATGAACCTATCTGAAATTGGTACTTTGTTCTTCTAAACATCCCAGGAGTTAACTTGATTAAGGTATTATATAACCTAGGGACACTGGCTAACTTAATACATAAGTTTATGAGAGGGGTTCATTAGGATTTTTGGTTGCACGGTCCAAAGACTCACTCAAGTTACCTCAAGAAAAGAGAGTGTATTGTGAGGATACATGTGACACTAAAGAGAAAGCAATATCACAGGAACCCAGAAATACCTGTAGAGTCAGACCTCCAAGATGCACCCCTCATGGACAAGGGGAGAGTCAAGATCCAAGCGCATGGGCAACTGTATTATCACTTTGCCCCTCAGTATTATGAGCTCAATGACTATCAGTTTTGTGCTCTACCATTAATGTACATTATCCTCCCTCTATTTCTGCTTCCCTTTGTACTTCCTTCTGCATTTGTTCTGACCACATTCTAACATCCCTTTTGCTAAGCATCTAACTTGCCAGAGAGAAAATCAGATTGGACCTCAAGTTCCCATCATTCTTGTTCAGGCTGAGCCTTGCAATGTGCCTCCTCAGAGGCTCCTGGCCAGCCTGTAGACTGATTCCACTGAGGTCAGATGTCCCTCCCATCCAATCAGCTGTAGCGGGGTGGGGTATTTGAGTGGTTACAACTAGGGCAGTTTTCCTCAGAAGGAGCTGTGGGATTGGCAGAAATCTGTAGTCTAATATACCAACCAAAAAAAACCAGTTATCATTGAGTCGATTCCGACTCATGGTGACCTCATGTGTGTCAGAGTAGAACTGTGTTCCATAGGGTTTTCAATGGCCCCTCTGGGTGGACTCGAACCACCAATCTTTCAGTTAGGTGTGAGCATGCTGACTGTTTGCACCGGCGTCTGCTAATTAACAATTCATACGGCCATAGAACCGTGGTTCCCAGGTGTAGGTAGGTAGATGGGCTACATTAGAACCCAGGGATCATTTGAGAAATGCAGAACTATGGGTCCCACTCTAGACCTATGAAATTAAAATTTCAAGGAGGAGGACTAGAGAATATGTATATATAAATATGTGTGTGTGTGTGTAGAGAGAGAGACTGTATGTGTGTGTGTATATATATATATATATATTCTCCCAAGTGATTTTAATGACAACAGCTTTGACATTTTTGGAGACTAGAGCTTTGTGAAGGATGGGAAGGGTCAGACTGAAGGCTAGGAAGTCTTCTTGATTCTCAATAGTTTTTTCTGGGTATTCTGAGGGACTCCTGTGGAAGTATGGGTAAAAACACATTTGAAACATACAGGCACTGAGGTGAAGCCATTTCCTTGAAACGAAATAAAAATATAAGAATATTTTTCCCTGTAGCTGCCTTAGTTTATACAAATGACCATCTGAGAGACCAGCAAGAACTAATGTTAAACTCAAATGTCATGAGTTTTTGGTGTGGCCTTGTACAAAAGTTGAGAACTTACTGCTTTTTTGTTTTTTCTCATCTATAACAGGTCTATTTAAGGAACTATCATAAGCAACACAAAGTAATTTGACTAAAATGCTACCTGAATTAATGATAAATTTTTCACAAAATAATTTAAAAAAATCTTTCACTTTAATGGGGGAAAATTAATAAAGTATTTGGTAATGTGTTAAAGAATTGCTTACATAGACATATCCTAATAATCAACACTACTATAAAAAATAAGCACACGTTTCTACTGAATATTATAATCTTTATTACAAAACAAATATTTTACGTTGAGGTAACATTTCAAAGGGTATTTGGCAAAAATCAATTAAAAACTATCTACACAATTTTGCTATGTGCAACGTAGGTAATTGATTCAGAGAACAGTTTTTCTAACATTGCACATAAGCTGATTTTAGGAAAAATAAAGCTAAAAATTATCTATTTAAAGACAGATTTCTTTCTACCACCCTCCCCTACCCAACCAGTAGTCGATGGTGTGACGTTCATGGGAGTTCCACAAAAAACATCGAACAGGATAAAATAGTTGGGAAAAAAGTTGTGTTTATCCAAAAACTTCACTATGCCAAAATTCAAAAATGTTTGCAGAAACTAAATTTTTGGTCAATAGGATTTACTATTGCTTATCCCAAGAATAAACAATATCTCCCTTCTTCAAAGGATAAATGCTATCCAACCCTCAAACTCCATTGTCTTTTCCTCAGTGAAGTCTTCCTTGATTCTCCAAGACAAAGTGGGTCACCCTCTTCTATGCTCCCTTGGTCACTTTGTTCACAAATCTGTTATAGCATCATCACATTGGATTGCAACAATTCTTTTTTCCCTCATATGTATCCCTCTTTAGATCATAAGCTCCTCAGGAGCAAGAAACAAGTCTTAAACTTCTTTATATCCGCAGCACCTAGCACAGTGCCTGGTACATAAGAGAACCTCAGTGACTGTTTGTTGGGCTAATGAATTAGGAACAATTTCATCTGTTAAGCTATAATGTGCATCTTTATTTGCTTCCAGTCTCATTGAGTATGTCCTCATGCCATTCCACATTCTGTGAACCTATAGCGTGGTGACACACTAGAAACAAGAGTAATGTCCAACAATTCCTTTCCAAAAGAAATGGCCTCTGGTTATCCTCCTAATAAAAAGATCAATAAATTATAGTTGTAATGATTTCCCTACTCTCTAACCCCCAAGATTTCTTTATGTGAGAGCCACTTCTAAGGAAAGCTGATGCTAATAGCCATCTTGGCAGTCATTGTCATCTTGATCCCCAATGGGTTTGTTGTGATAAATATCAACTGTTAATTTTCTGCTTTCTATCTTAGTGTTCTTGGACAGGCCATCTTCCTCACTGCTTGATTTGCTCTCAGTAGAATTGCTGTCTTCTTTTGACATGCTGCTGTTCTGGGAATCACTGTCATCATTTTCTACCGACTGGCTGTCCTGCTCAGACTGGCTTTCATCACTCTGGCTGTCTGTGGAGGCACTCTGAGACTGGAGACTCTCCTGGCTAGAACTGTTCTCATCCTCAGTGGACTCTGGGCTTTCCTCTGAGGATTTGAGGCTGTCATTGGAGTCACTGTCAGCTTGCTCCTCTCTGGATTCACTTTCTGAATTGGAGGGCTTGCTCACATTGTCTTCTTCACTGGAGTCACTGTCCTCCGGGTCTTCTGAATGGTTGATGGTGTTTTGATCTGGGTTATCACCCCTGGGCTCACTCATTGCCTCTTCCTGAGATTCACTACTGTTTTCTTGAGATGGGAGGTCCACCTCTTGACTAGATTCACTGCTGAGATCTTGTACATTTTGACTGTCTTCCTGAGACTGATTCTCCTCGCTATCTTCTTGAGAATCACTCTTGCTGTTTTCCCTGGATTGGCTGAGGCCAACTTCTTTGGAGCTACTGTTTTCTGTGGAGTCACTCTTGAATTCTTCCATCATGTTGCTATCTTCAAACTCACTCTTGTCATCTTCTTCAGAAATGCGGGACTTCCTGAAAAATTTCCTACTGGGATACTCCACTGATTGGCTGCCATCTGAATCCTGAGTACTTGCTTGCTCATCACTGTTCCCTTTGGATTCTTCTGATTGGATGCTGGCACTGCTCATTCTAGAGGTGTTTCTGTCACTGCTGATGCTATCTGGATCATCGTTCTGCATTCCTTCATCATCAAACTCAGAGCCATCCCCATGGCTACTATCCTCCTCACTGCTGCCTCCCACCCAGCGCTCCTCACTCTCACTCTCATGGGTGAAGTCACCTCCCTCAGGCCTGCTGTTCACCTCGCCCTCATGGTTGAGCTCCCTGCTCTCACTGGTGGTATCCTGGGCACTGTCTTCCCCTTGTAGGGTGCTATCTTCTCTGGATTGTGTGCTGTCAGCAGAGTCTTCATCACTTTCAAGTCTGGTGTTTCCTCCTTCATGTCCCTCTTCAGGGCCTAGGCCGTTGTCCTCATCACCAAAGGTGTCATCTCCACTGTCGTCTTCATCATCATCTTTAGCATCTTCTTCTTTTCCTCCACTCCTAGAGAGGCCACCAGCTGGTCTATAAATATATTGACGATCATCAGGACCCAAGCCCTCCTCTGATTCTGCGCTCTCACTAGGGTCTTCATTTGCCTGGAGGTTGGAATTAACAGACATGGTCAGTATTCCGGGAGCTGATCATAGAGGCTGTTATCTAGTGCCTATCTAGGCTCTTTCTGCTTCCTCCTTCTTTTGTCCCTCCTCTAACCCAGGGTCAATTTTACAACTCAACTGCATCTCTACAAGAGGTTAAATAGGCAAAGGAAGAGGAGCCCAAATTCAAGTTATTTCATTTTATATAGGCACACTTCACTCAATGCTGTAAAAATTTACTCAAAAATATTTCATAGATATCACAGTTATGAAATTCAAATAATATTTAATTTCCTTAAAGGAAATTCTCAGAGAATTTTTTTGTGAATTAAAGAGTTATTTTATAATGCTCACTCCTTAATATGTTTAGTTTAAAATAGAGTTTTTAAAAATATTGGATGACCTTAAAATGACCCAAATATCTTTTTTCTAATTAATTCTGAAACAATGTATTAGGACAAAAGGCTGAAATGTTTAGTTGATAATGAAAGTAAAATATTGTAGTAAGGTAAACACCTCACTCAAGCCATATTTATACCTTATTTGTATAGGCAGAGAGTTGTCTGTAGAAGGCTCAGCTAGAAGACTACTAGCAATGTGACCACCAGCGCAACTTGGTTCTAAGTGTGAGGTCAGAGAGATGACCACAATGAGTAGAATAGGTGCATGCTCTACACGGATAAGGAAGGGTAATGAGTCTTCATTCTCAATGAGTCAAGTATACTCTCGTTACCATACTCTGGAACTGAGAGTAGCTGCGATTTTTTTTTTTTTTTCCTTTTTTCCACGTGTCCCCACTGATCAAATCTGAGTTTTCAATTTGGAAATACAAGATCATGCCATTTCTTCCCACTGCTGGAGCTGTACACTGGCATGCTAGAATTGAGGTTGTATTTAGTTTACCATGCCCCTTAGGCACACATCATACTCCTTTTAAGCACAGACTGTTGCCCTCATTTGAGAGTTCAGAGAACATTGAGGCAATAAACCATAAAGTCCCCCAAAAAGAGCATTTCCATAATTCTATGCTTTTAAATTCCTAGAATATTCCTTTGACAAACCTTTAGTAAATAGGGATAAAAAGCCTAATAATTCATCTTCCAAGTCTGGCTAGGTGTAGAATACAACGTGGGTGAAAGCTTCAGGGAGAAACATGGTTCCCCAAATCTCTGGAGCCCCCACAGTGTTGAATTTGGCCAAAATGATAGAATATCTCAGAAAGTAGTCTTGGAAAAATAGAAACAAAACAAAAAAAAAAACACTGATTTTTAGTAAAGGGAAATAAGTCAAGTTCTGGGAATAAGTCACTTGTTGACTATGATCGTTCTGGGTAGTTTGTCTTTCTCACTCCCTAGGCCATAGATGAGCCTATTTTAAATACAAAGTCGTTACTAAATCAGCAAAAAAGAGGAAGACCCTCAATGAGATGGACAGACACAGTGACTGCAACAATGGGCTCAAGCATAACAACGATTGTGAGGATTGCGCAGGACCAGGCAGTGTTTCGTTCTGTTGTCCATAGGGTTGCTACGAGTCGGAACTGACTCGACGGCACCTAACAACAACAACAAAGCAGCGGTTTCATTAGAGGTTCCTCAGGGCTCTCCTTTTTTCTTCTCCACCAGAATCCTGGACATAGAGGTATCCAGGCCCACCAGACACTTCTTGTTTGCCAGAACGCTATTTCTCTCCTGATCTGAAGTGCTACAGTTGTAAAAGCAACATTCTAGAATGATGAGTAAGCTATTACTTATCTAACATAATCAGTGACCATTTGTATGTGTGTATATTTTTGTTTGTTTGTTTTACTTTGTTTTGTTTTTAAGTAGGAGGACACTTAGGGCCACAATTTCTGCAGTCTAGCACCAATGATAAATTTGCAATGAACAGTATGTCTGCAACATCTAAATTCTCCCCACTCCTTTTTCCCTTCTTATTTTATGGAACTATTTAGCCAGCAAAACCAATGGTTAGCAAATATTATATTTAGAGATGCTGCCGGGTAATTTAATCTAACATCATTTCCTCTATTTCCTAAGTAGCCTGAAAATTTCAGAAAGACCTGTTTAATTACCTGTTCCTCTGAGCTGTCTTTACTTTCTTCTGATGACTCACTGCTCTCCTGAAAGGAGGGAAAAAAAGGAGCTTTAGTTTTCCTTTTAGTAATTGCTCAGGAAAGAAAAAAATGATACATATCAATTGCCTGTGGTTTGGATTTACTACTTTTCAAAATGGCATAAGGTGATGGGAGGAGTGTTAAGGTCAAGTCATTTCAGGAGATGTTTATGACAAAAATAAATGAGATAGTTACCGAGGGTGGTGTTGGTGTCTGAGCCAACTGACCCTGCAGAAAAGGAAGGAAAACAAGTTACTCCATCACAGATGGGTTATGTCATTCACACTGCAAATATTTAGAATAGTTTCAGGTGATTTTTTCCTTTTTTTTTTTTAGTTTCTTGACACATATTTTACATTTACATGGGTAATAATGAAATTTTTTGGTGAAATGGTTGAAAAATAAATATGAGATGACTAAGTGGCCTGAAAAGATTTGTGGTTATAAAAGACCTAGAAGATTTTTTATAATTCTGGCATTTCACTGACAGAAAAATATACTTTATTTAAAGACGGTTGTTTACACAACCTTGAGGAAATGTCATATAGGAAAAACAGCATTGGAACTCAGAATCCAGATTTAAGTTTGAGCACTAAAAGTCCTGTGTTCCAGGAAATCGTAAGTCCCAGGTAAACCAGTGCATTGATAAACCTGTGTGAATTTGGGCAATTCACTTCACCTATCTTACCTTCAGTTTCTTAGACAGAAGTTAAGAAAATTAATATCCACCATGCTTGACCCCAGGGTTGCTCTGAAGATGGAATCAGCTAAAACCAATGGAAGCATCTTGAGAACTATTCAATGTGATATAAACTAAAGAAATGATCAATTTTAAAAAAAATCCACCTTATAAAATTCAATAGTAGACAAAATTGAATTGACAGAGCCATTAACCTTTCTTGAGTCACATAAGATCACTGATAATAAAAACAAATGCCATATCTAAGCCTTAACTATTCAGAGTTTCTATTTAGTTTACTTTCTTTAGTCTTGCTAAAGCCATAAGAATGTCCGAGTCACCTCTGGTCGCTCTGAGTTGGAACTGACTGGACAGCACCTAACAACAACACCACCTCTGGTGACCTCTGTGAGCACAACTAGGTCCCTGTGTGGCTCAATGCCAAGCAGTGGGCGTCAACATTCAATGCGCAAAGTACAGCAGAGAGGAGCCGCTGTTGGCATGTCTTCAACATGCTTCCCAGCAATGTCTCCTTTAGAGGGACAAGCTGTAATCACTTTAAGTCTTTGCCCTGGGACTGCAGGCCTATACCATGCAGCAGCCTCTATTCCAGTCAGCTATCATCAGGAATTATGGGCTGGAAGGGAGTAAGACATTGGTATTTTTCTCACGTCAAAAGTGGGAAACGCCTATTTGTACTACTCTTATTCTAGTAGAATGAGAAGGAGAATCTATAATGGCTGCTTTTAAATTAATCAGTCTATGATTATCTTTGATGAAAATTCCTATAATAAATCTGCAATGTCTGTCCTGGCCTCATCAGGGACAGGATGGCACCTCAGACCTCTTACATCTTCTGGCCACCACCAAAAGCCTTGGGCCTAAGCTATATCACACAAAAAAGCCAGCAGGAACCAAGGCAAAGGAAGACACTTACAGAAACACAAGGCAAAAAAAAAAAAAATGCAGCAACCACATTTAATACTATAACATATACAATCCTACAACAAGAGTAAAAATAAACAGTAGCTTACAAGCAGATACATAGGCAGATAAGTATGCTGAATTGGGGAAGGAAAGCATATAGGAGTATAACCACATACATATACAGGTTAGACTGTGGATATTTTTACTTACATATTTGTATGCACAGCATGTATATTCATACATATAGAACACGAAAGGGGCACAGCCTAGAAGCTTTCTAGACGCATCCAAACACCTTGAGGGACCAAGTTACTGGGGCTGAGGGCTGGGGACCATGGTTTTGGGGAACATCTAGGTCAATTGCCATAACATAATTCATAAAGAAAATGTTCTATGTCCCACTTGGGTGAGCATCGTCTGGGGTCTTAAAGTTTTCGAACAGCCATCTAAGATACATCTATTAGTCTCTTCCTGTCCTGAGCAAAGGAGAACGAAGAAAACAAAAGACACAAGGAAAATATTAGTCCAAAGAACTGACGGCTCACATGAACCACAGCCTCCATCAGCCCAAGCCCAGAAGAACTAGATGGTGCCTGGCTACCATCATCGACTGCTCTGACAGGGATCACAATAGAGGGTCCCAGACAGAGCTGGAGAAAAATGTAGCACAAAATTCAAATTCACAAAAAGAAGACCAGACTTACTGGTCTGACAGAGACTGGAAGAACCCCTGAGACTATGGCCCCCAGACTCTGTTTTAACTCAGAACTGAAGCCACTCCTGGAGTTCACCTTTCAGCCAAAGATTAGACAGGCCTATAAAACAAACAGTAACACACATGAGAAATGTACTCCTTAGATCAATCAAGTATATGAGACCAAATGGGCAACAGCTGCCCAAAAGCAAAGACAAGCAAGCAGGAAGGGACAGGAAGCTGGATAAATGGACACGAGGAACCTGTGGTGGAAAGGGGGAGAGTGCTGACACATTGTGGGGATTGCAACCAATGTCGCGGAAAAATTGGTGTATAAATTTTTGAACGAGAAATGAATTTACTCTGTGAACTTTCACTTAAAGCACAATAAATTTTTTTTAAAAAACCATTATGCACCAAGCAGATACCATAACCTAAATGTCACATACAGCTGTCCCAGGTCCCCAGACCAAGCCTCAGCACAGTGGGCATCCCCCTCTCTCCTTATCACCTGCTCTGAGGTCTGTTGCCAAGTCCTCTACCAGGATATCACATCCCAAATCTCCTTCTTCAGGGTCTTGTCAAATGAAAAACCCACTTTATGCCCCTTCCCAATCAAAATATCCTACTATTCCACCCCACTGAAGATGACATTTACTTTAACACACAGAACAGTTTATCTTCTTGTTTCATTAAACCTTTCCACTCCAAACAACAACAACAAAAAAAATCCAACAGGAGATAACAAAATGCTGTCTCTCAGCATAAGATTTTAACCCTTACTTCTGGTGCCAATGTTAAAAATTTACTGACTTACTAGACCTAGCCCCTGCCTGAGAGGAACAATACTCTGGTTAGAATAATGTTGATTCTGGAGCCAGAGTGACCTAAGTTCAAAGCCTGTCTCTAGCCCTAATTAGTCACATAACCTAGTAGACTAGGTTACTCTCTATGCATCAGTTTTTTCAGCTGTAAAATGGGAATAAAATAACACTAATCAATAAGGCTGTTGTGAAGATTAAAAAAGGTGAAAGATTTACACCATATGAAGAGAAACCAGAGTATGTTGTGAAGATTAAGAAGTTAATACACGTAAAGCACTCAGAATGGCAATGGTTCTTGAGTACTAAGAGTAAATGACTATTGGTTTGTTGAGAATCAGCACTCAATAAACATAAGTTATCATTCCAAAGACTCCAGTATCCTCTCATTCTTCTTTCTTCACTCCCCAGGACTTGAACTCTTACCTTCCTGGACATATGTTATCTCTCCTTTTAAAGCAGATTTCTAGTCTTGGCCTTTCCTGGACAACCTTAGCTCATTTTTATCAATCCCCTTGCACTACTCTACATAGTCATTACAAGAATAAAGCTAAAAGAAAAAAAAGTAGTACACTAAATTGTACTACTAAGTTGGAGTTGAAGTATGATATCAACTAAATCATCTTATATGAACTAGAAATTATAACCTGTTGCCTAGTATATCTGCCTATATTTTAAGCTATGATTGTACTCATCAAATCATTAGCAGATTCAATATTTGCAATGGAACCTATTTGACTAGAATAATAATATATTTAAATAACAATGTTTCCAAAAAATCAGATTTCTACTTACCTGCCATTCTTCAGAGCTTTTGGATTTAGTATTTTGGTACCTGGCTACCTAGAAAATTTAGCATACAAAGGTCAACCCACAGGGTAATTTTCAAGGCAACAGCTACTAACACTTTATATATTTAGGGGCAACCAACGAGTCAACTAGTTGCTGTTGAGTAGACTCTGACTCATGGTGACCCCATATGTGTCAGAGTAGAAATGTGCTCCATCAGGTTTTCAATGGCTGTGGCCTTTTGGAAGTAGATCACCAGGCCTTTCTTCTGAGGTGCCTCTGGTTGGACTCAAACTTCCAACCTTTCTGTTAGCAGCTGAATGCATTAACCATTTGCATCACTCAGGATTCCTACTTAGGAGCCTAAACCCCAAGCCCACTGCCACCAACTCAATTCCGACTCATAGCGACCCTATAGGACAGAGTAGAACTGCCCCACAGGGTTTCCAAGGCTGTAATGTTTACAGGAGCAGACTGACACGTCTTTCTCCCTCGGAGCAGCTGGTGGCTTTGAACTGCCGACCTTTCAGTTACCAGCCAAGTGCTTACCCACTGTGCCATCAGGACTCCTTTACTTAGGAGCAGTGGTAGTTAAATTTTAGCATGCATCAAAATCACTGCGAAGCCTTTTTAAAACACAGATTGCCATGCCCCATCCCCAGAGGTTCTGGTTCATTTGGTCTGAAGCAGGACACAAGAATCTGCATTTCTAATGAAGTCCTAGTTGATGCTGATGATGCTCGTCTGGGGAGGACACTTTGAGAATCACTGCATGAGTCGAAAGCTACTGGACGGCAACCAGTTTATGAGGAAGAAAAATAAAACTCAATAGCTATATGAATGGCCCCTGAACAGAAAGAAGAATAACTTGGATGATGTTTTAAAGAGAACAACTTCCTAAGAAATTACTATTTTCGTCTGACTAGAACACAGACAGCCTAGGAAACCCAACGGGACAGTTTTACTGTGTCCTATAGGGTCGCCGTGAGTTGGAATCAACTCGACAGCACACAACAACAACAAAACATAAACAGCCACCTTGGTTCATATCAAATGAAAATTGTGGCGTTTTAGGTATAAAAGAGATTTTCACATATCTCTAGCCTGATACTTACTGGAAGAGCACAGGATAACCCCCAGAGGAACACAAGCAGGATGCTGGTCTTCATAGTTGAGTGTGACCCTTCTCCCTGTGATGAAGGACATAGATGTTTTCAACATTCTTTTTTTTTTCCTTGTTTACAAAACAACTCATTCCTAAGAGAAAATTGAAAACTTTTCAATGGGGAGGTCTTCTAACACTTCTTTACGAACTCTTAATATAAAATAAAAAGAGGTATAAAGACACAGGAATAATGATGAACATAATTAATGTCACGAGCACATGTGAGGATGAGAGAAATGGCAAATGTTTTGTTACCTATATTTACCACAATGAAAAACCAGGAAACAATCTGGCAAAAATAATTAAAAAAGGAAACAGGAATAGAGAAATTTCTGATCATTCACATTCATAATAATTTTGCAGCTCAATGTAGTAAAGTAACCTGACAAATTTATTCCCAAAAAAAAACTACTTTTTTTGACACCATATTGAGCATTTGTCTTCGCACGCGCGCACACACACACACACACACATGCACACACACACAAATGACTTCTAAGTCACATTTACAATCACATACTGATGTCTAGACAAAACGCATTGCTTTTGCTTTGTTTTTTCTCTTGGTCTGTAGGAGATGCACTATGGCAGGCTTCGTATTACAGTTCAGAAAGCTCCTAGTATCTACTGTGAGCCATTTAGTCATACATTATACATGATTATGCTAAATTCTTGTAAGTGTCACTCATGGTCCTGAAGAAGCTGGAGAAGATTAGAGGCTTGGGATACACTTGTGAATCATGCTGAGAGAAGCACGCCAAATCAAACTGTACTTTCCTGGGGGGTGGCTTCAATTGATAGTTCAAGAACTGGTGGGATTTGGAAAACAACTTGTTCTATATCTAAAAATAGATGTTCTCGATTCTAATGGAAAAAGTTATTGAAATGATTTGAAAGGAAAGTAACTGGCCTGCCGTAGTAGGCCCTTGTAGCTGCCCTAACATACTTGTCAGATGGACGTCCGTACATTTTACAAAAGACCCCGCAAGTTTATTTCAGACTTCACTTCTGTTAATTTATTTCTTAAAATGTTAAATACTTACTGTACTAGTAACAAGAGATCTAAGCCAGTAATTCTCAACCCTGGCTGTATATTAATATCACCTGGGAAGATTTTTTTTAAAAGAAAACAAACAAAAAAAAAAACACTAGTGCACATGTCCCACCCCAGAGTAATAAATCAAGTCACTGAAGGTGAGCAAAGGGACAGCTTAGTTTTGAAACCGCCCCAAGTAATTTTAACAATTAATCTAGAAATAAGTATAACTGCTTAAAAAACATTCTGAACCTTGGCTCAAGAAGTCATCTAATCTTTTAAAAAATATATCCCCTAAAACAATAGAAACTCTAAGATAAAGAAGACTGGAACCCTTCCTCAGTTCGGTTCTACTTTCATGAACTCTAATAGTCAACCAGAAGCCTCTGATTTTATATTATGATCATTATCCCTCTTCATCATTGTCACTTGTAGTTTGTGTTATTTTCTTTATTCCAGTTAAGTATAGTACATTTGAGTCCTTGTGTTTCAATATTATTTTAGAGGTTTTTGTGTTTTAAATCCCTTATCTAATATCAACATAAAAAAGAAAATTCTCAACTGCATCTAAAACAAGCCTCATTCAAAAGATGTTACTTTCCATCAGTTCCAACAGTCAAGCCCTTTTTTAAGTTCTTGGGTTCGTTTGTTAAGCAAAAGAAAGTTTCTCCAAATACAATACCCTCAAGGTAATCCCATGCCAATGGTTTTAGCATCACCGATCAAATGAAAATCAGGCAGGTCACCATTTTAATTTTCAAAGTGAAATGTAAATAGTGTGGTAATCTTAAGATGCTCTGAAAACAAGCAAATATCTAGCCTTAATACAAGGCCAATAAATATTGAGTTCTCCTCTTGTATTTTCTTTCCCTCTCTCTTATCTAAATAACAAAAAACGTGGGAAGATGCCACCATGCATTTTTGTAAACTGATGAATGATGAGATGTTTACCAAAGGTGCTTACAGTGTTAATGCTATTTAGTGATGGAATGGAATTAAACATAAGAAAGATGCACTAACTTCCTCAGGCTTCTGGAAATGCCATTTAGCACCCTAACATACAGCAAAAAACTCCCAAATGGAAATGTGGTACATAAAAATAAAAGCAACCCAGAGATCCCGAGAATTGATACTGCCTCCTAAAAAACGTAATACCGCAATAAGCATTAAGCAAAGCCAGATCTTAAACACTGTATTAGGTTTTCAATTAGTATTTTTGATAAGATTAATTATACTTTTGTGCGGTGTATTTCCAAGTGAAAACTCCAAACTTTTAGGAATATCAACTATTAAACTAAAAAAAAAAATAGAAGAAGATAAACAGTCGCTTTCTTCTGAGTAAGAAGTTAGCAAAACAGCTAAGCGTGAAATATATGAGTCTGGAATCCCACGATTTTCTTCACTGATTGATAAAGGTCATTTCTACAATGACAGAATGTAACAAAAGGACATCAACAACTATACTTTCAGCTTGCAAGGCACTGTATTAGAAAGACTTTCAACTTTTCCAAATTGTTTCCAAAGAGTTGAAAAAAACAGAAAATATTTAGGATCTGGAAGGGGGAATGCAGTTCAGATTTTGAATGTAGTCAAAAGTTCTTTGGGCTCCTAAATAAGGAAAATTGTTCTGGAATTTTTTCAAAATTAAGATTCACTTGCAAAGTATGTGTCTTCTTTTATGTGAACTGAAATGAAATAGAAAGACTAAAAGAGAGAAACAAAAATTTGAAAAAATCATAGTTTCTTTTTCCTTCCGAAAAACAATTTATTGGACTTGATATGCTACTTTATGTCTTAGTATTGTTATCCTCAATAATACTAATGAACAATACCCTCATTCATTAGCAGTCAACAAATATTTACTGAGAACATCCTATGTGCCAGGCACTGTTCTAGATGCTGAGGGTACACAGTTGTTTTAATAATAATAAGCTGGTCTTACAAAAGTAAAATTACTCAAAACCCAGCTAACCAGAACGTCCATTACATAGAATTTGTTTCTTTATTACTCTTTGAAAATAAAGTAGAATATGGCCAAGATATGAACCCTAAATTCAGAGATCCAAACAAATAAACCAATAAAAATTTCCAACATTTCCAATTGTATTGTCATGAGATCAATTGCAATCAAATCAACATCATGCACTTTCAACCACTGTAAAATAACTATAAACCAACTAAAATCAAACCGACTGCCTCTGAGTCGATTCCGACTCATAGCGACCCTATAGGACAGAGTAGAACTGCCCCGTAGGGCTTCCAAGGAGAGGCTGGTGGATTCGAACTGCCAATGTTTTGGTTAGCAGCTGAGCTCTTAACCACTGTGCCACCAGGGCTCCAAAATAACTATAAGGGGCCCCCAAATTAAACATGGACTTGGAAAGCCTCCAAGCATCTGAAGTACATTGGTACACATCACCATTCTGGGGTAGGTAAGTTCGCTAATACCCTTTAGAAAATTGTTTCTATGTTCACATGTTTTTAATCACCAAGATTAAAGTAGGATAGTCTATTTAACCCTGAGTTAAACAGGAAGTTTGGCTAACCAGAAGTTATTATTCCTGGAGCAGGTTGCTTGAAGAGTTGCTATTATACCTGGGATCTTCTAGATGTCATACAGAAATTAATTGCTTGATCCCAACTCCCACTCTCTGTTGTGGAAGACAAACTTTTCTGATATAGCTAAAAAGGGGAATAAAGGTGGTAAATAAAAATACATATGAATGAGTATATACAGTCATGCATCACTTAACATCCACAATACATTCTGTGAAATAAGACGTTATGTGATTTGGACGTTGTGAGAAGACCATATAGTATACCGGCAGTCCCTGGGGTTATGAAGGTCCAGCTTACGTACAACCCATAATTATGAACCAACCCCTGTACAGCCTATTATATTAAAAATTTGAGGTACATACAATGGTTCATAATAACAAATGGGCATTGCTTTGCAATGAGCATCAAAACGTTATTATTATTATTCCTCTATTATTATTCCAGGACTTCTGAACTTTATTATGGCCTATGGGACCACAGACGTATATACTGCTGGATGTTGCCCAAAAGGACATTATGCAGCACATGACTGTATATGCATAAGCCTTCTACGTTAGAAAGTGTTTTAAGATAATTAAATTCAACATTTATTGAACTTTGACTTTATGCAAGGCATCGTGCTAGCATGAATGCCCAGGCTTAACAAGACAAAATTATTATAATTATGACACCTTTGGTTTATATCAGTGCTTCACATCTTCTTTCAGTTACTCAGTTCATAATGCATATTATTGAATGTCTCTAGATGAAGGGCATTAAATGGCTTTTAATTAAAAGGACTTTATATTGGAAGTCCTCCCAGTATAGTTTAGATTCTTTCATAGTGTCTTGTAGGCCATGAACATCTTGACATCTATGAAACTTAAATGTAAAAGTTTTATTTGTTTTGCTAATTAAAGCTAAACTTCCAAATAGCCTTCTATCTGCCTCCTGTTCAGTAAACTTACCCTTTCAGAAGTCCTATGCAGAGATATAATTAAAGTATTACAGAGAAAAATACCAGGCTCTAGTGACTTACATGTCATTTTAACATCATTAATTACTGTGACATAGACAACAGGCACAGAAATAGGAGTTGTTTTTACCCACGGCACAGCTCTCCCCCTCTCTCTCTGCGTGAGATGATGCCTCTCAACATGTATATACATTTATTATTTTCCAATCGATACAGCAGAAGTCATTAAAAAAAATTAAAAGATGAAATTGTCTTACCCTCTTCGGTTCACAAAGACTTTTCCCCAAAAGTCTCAAAACTCAGGTTCAAGTTCTCACAGAGGAAATCAATGCCCAATGAAGCCGCTCTTGTGTTGATATTCTGAGCACTTCTCTGATGGGACAGGAATTTAAACTCTGCTTCAGCTCTTCACAGCCAATCAGTCTCGGGCTGGGGGTGACTGACATCACAAGGT